AGTGATAGGTAATTGAAAATCTATTTTGTATAAAGAGCAACAGGCAGTTATAGAGTTGGAACTACAAAATAGAAAAGTAAATATTAGGAAGGGAGTCAGACAGGGATGCTAACTGTCGCCGCTATTTTTTAATCTATACATCGAAGACGCAATCAACATCATTAAAGACAGTACAACTGCAGGGATAGATATAGAGGAGCAAAATACTAGAACACTTAGATTTGCAGATGATATATCAGTATTAGCATCTAGCAAGGAAGAGTTAGAGATAGCTTTAAATAAAATGGAAGCGGTATTGACAAAACAGTACTATATGAAAATAAATAAAAGTAAAACTAAAATACTGGTATGCAAGGGAAGAAAAAGTAGGGAAAGAGCGAATATAAAGATAGGAGACGAATAAATGCAAGAAGTGGCTGATTTTAGGTATCTAGAAAGTCAGATAAATCAGGTCGGAAGAAGTAGTAGGTATATAAAACAGAGGATAGCGCATTTTTGGACCGAGCGGCATGGCCTAGGGATTTAGACCATTGCTTAGCATTCGGGAGGACGCCGGTTCGATTCCGGGTCCGTCTGCCTTGGTCCAAGTTTTTCTGTGGTTTCCTTGGATTACTTAGGCAAATGCTGAGGCAGTAATATTCCACAGATAATCTTTCATTCACTTCTGTCTTCATTTCGTCCGTCTCATCTTTCTCACCTGAACCACCACCCACCCATTCCCACGATTCGTGAAAGCAGGCTGAAGAGGGCCTTCCGCCCTACCTTTCGGCACAGTCCGGAGGGACTACCCGCCCACCAGCATTACTGGCTGGTGGGAATGAAACACCCAAAAAATTTTTTTTTTGCAGGGGCGAGTCGCCTTCAATAAAAAGAAGTCACTTCTATGCTCGCAAACGGTTAATTTAGAAATTCGAAAAAATTTGTTAAAGGTGTATGTTTGGAGGGCGGCGCTGTATGGGTAAGAAACATGGACAGTGGGCGCGGCGGAAAAGAAAAGTTTAGAAGTATTAGAAATGTGATATTACAGGCGAATTATGAGGATAGAGAAGGTTATAATAAAAAATATATACATAATAAATAAAATAAACGTGGGTAGAAAAGGTTAGAAATGAAGAGGTATTAGAAAGAATAGAAGAACAAAAGACTCTAGGGAAGTCAATAAGAAATAGGCAAGATAGATTAGTAGGACACCTTTTCAGGCCTAAAGGTCTAGTCAGAGACATATTAGAGGCAGAAACGGGAGTTAGGAGGCGTAGAGGTAGACCTAGATTAAATTACTGTTCGTAAATAGTTAAGGATGTGGGTTGTTCTAGTTTTAGGAAAATGCTCAGGATAGGAAAGAGTGGAGATACGTGTCCAACCAGTCTTAGGACTGACAACCTTATGATGATGATGTTTGGTTCCTAACATGTTTATACCTTAAAGTGCTATTGCAGATGGTTCGCTACAGTGATAGGCAGATGAAAATCTATTTTGTTAAAAGAAATTATAACAGATAGTATTCAGCAAATAAAGATGCACTTAAAAAGTAATTCAATAAATTCAGGTAGTACTAATAATTACGAAGTGGTGGTATTGGATTAAAAGTAAGAAATGAACCCGTATTTATGACATTTTCATCTTCCTTTATTGGAATTGAAATCGAGGTCCAGTCGGACATAATTTGGCGATGCCAAATGTAATGCTTCTAGGGCGTTTAACCATGTTCTAAATCAGATACTTCGTTAGGTCCTTCATTATATGCATGGGGGTGCTTACTTAAATAGCTTATTAGAAAGTGAGTCAAAAGCCTAACTGGGGTCCAAGTCAAGTACCTAACTTGGAGCATTATTGAATTCCAAGATGGGAATTTAGTTACATGCCGTAATGAGAATTTAGTCAGAGCTACTGGCAGATTTTAGAAGAGTAGGTATTAATTGTTATCCTGGCTATGCGTTAAATTAAATTTCTGATTTGATGTCAGGCATACAATTGGTATAATCTCATATAGATTGAACCAGCGGTAATCATGTAGATTAAAAGATATTTTTTTATTTTAACCCAAATTCACATTTACACCACCAGCAGCGCAAATTTTAGTAGAGTAAGGTCGGTGAATGTGGAATACCATTTTTTTAAAAATTATAAACAAGTTTATTAAACATACTTCTGTAATTTTTTTATTCACGGTAATATCTGTAGTCAGCTAGCTGTTTGTTTTTCTCGTCTAGGCGACGTAGTCCTATAAGGTAATGTGGAATAGGATATTACCATGGAATTAACACGCCACCATTTTCAGTAAATAATTTCACCTACAACGAGAAGAATATTTTATTTGACTAACATTTTACATGATACAAAAAAAGAAGACCAAAAAAATCAGGTAATCATAATATCTACTGGCAGAAATCACAAATATAAACTTCTCTTTCATTTCCTGTACACACTTCATGGCACCAGCCACTACACATTATGCATTGTATCCAAACCTCTCCTCTTTTATCTTCAGATTTACCTGCACAAAAAATACATTCGGCATCTTTATTGGGAGTTAGGGAGGGGAAAATGGAATTGGGAGGGGAAAATGGAATTGGTTATATGGAATAGTCCACAATAGCAAACCTATTGATATTCCACAATACCCACTTATAGACACGAAACTATGACCATATAGAAACTTGGATAAAGTTAATTTTATAGGGCTGTAATATCATACCTCACACTCTAAAACACTTACAGTAACTACACGCAGCACCAATATTTTTAAATCGGTCCAAACAAATGCGTAACAGTTAACAGTATCACTACCCTACAAAATGTCAGCCACCTGCGAAATCATTTCTGATTAAACACAACGTCACCTATAACAAACATAAGATTACATAACACATTACTTCGAAATACATTAAGTACACAATACAGCAACTAGAATGTAGATAACACTTCTAGTTTTAGTGTAAAAATGGTATTCCACATTACCTGACCTATTCCACATTCACCGACTTTACTCTAACAATATTTTTTATTTACACTTCAACATATGTCTAATGTTGTCCTTGAACAGTATTTTCTTATAACATTTCCTTCCATCCAATAAAAAATATAAAAAAATCCTGAACAATTGCGTTCTTCACAAGATCTCTGCTTTTGTACAAAATGAGAAATGTTCATTCGTACACCACTGATTGCGACACAGGGACAGAACCAACCAACCATTTGTTTCACATCCTTCCATTTCTTTCGCAGCGTGACTCGTAGGTTTGAACAGCAGAACACCAAAAATAATCCACTTATGTACCGTTTCGGAACAACCGGCAGATTCGCTACAAATTAGCAAACCCTCGGCATTTGCTCTTTGTTATTATTTCTGTTACTTCATTCTCTCAACACGGTACAATGCACCTACAATACGTGTATGTATGTTTGGCTACTGTGTCACGGAATTATTGGTTTTTAATCTCATTAACGAGATCTAGAGGACGACAAATATTGGAAAATTTAATTGCCGATTTGAGTTTTTCGCAGCTATCGAACAATCAACCATCAATCTCAAATGAATATCGGTTACCTAATTGGAAAAATATTCAATATATGTATAGGTAGATATGAACAGTAGTTAAACTGAACAATGATTTGAGTTTGAAAAAAATTATCGTTGTTAGGAGAAGGTTTACTAAAGGGAATTAGACCACTACTTACCACGGAGCACAGAGTTGTTAGACTGAATTTTGCAAGGAAACATGTCAATTAGACCGTTTATGGCTGAAAACAAGTTTTGTTTTCAGGCAAAACTAGAATAAGTTTTAACTTTCCAGGTAGATGTGAACGAGTTTGACGGAGGCTAACAGAGAGATTAGCTACTTGCAATATCTTCACGAGGTTCCTACTTCTTGGTGGATCAATGCCGTTCTGGGGAGCAATTTGTTTTAATGGTTTTCTCAGATTTGGTTTCTGTAGAAAAGAAGTCCAAAAAGGCTAATTTCTACGTTGAAAACATTTTAGATGAATATATGATGCGATTTGCTTTATTTTTCTTTTTGTGCAAAGCCTCATGTTACCAGATATGTTAGATTCCAAATTCACTTCGAGTTAGTGAATATTCAGACTATAGATTGGTCGCCAAGAAGCCCAGATACGAGCACCAATGGGTGTTCTAGGGTGTTCTAAGACAATCGGTTAGGCACCACATATCTGTTCCTATCAATCTTAGAAAACTTTAAGTCCTTCTTGTCGAATGGGAGAATATTCCTAGGGAAACCATACCAAACTTGATTAACAGCTTGCCTAGGCGAATGGCAGCAGTTATTAGAGATTGACGAGGATCTACAAGTTCAAATTCTCACGGTTTAATTTTTTAATTTATCTTCTTTTTTTGCTTTCACCGTTTTATTTGCATTATGACAATATCGATTTTCTTTTGTTATTTAATCAATTAATCATGTTTCGTCCCTACAAAATCATTTTAATTTATCGACCGTCAGTTGAAATGATGTACAGTTATAATATGTCGTAGATAATATAACTTAAAACTTGAAAAGCAGAAGTAAAGTAATGAGAAATTCTGCTAATGCATTTTTGATATGTTAATTTCACCTAATTCATTTTAAAATTTATTAACAAATAAAGTTTGCCACATAAACTGTACTAAAATTAGGATAACTAGCTGCCCGATAAAACTGAAAATTAAAAGTTTTACCTACATCAAAATTCGCTTTTGAAAGTACCTACCAATTAAAACAAGAACTTAATTATTTTTATTTGTTATAATCAAACTACGTCCCCATAAGTACTTAATTTCATTTACTTTTTTAAGCGCATAGATGAGAAGGTTTTGACTTGCGGACAGGCAAATGGGAATCCTAATAAACAAATTATGATCAGATTAGATATATATGATTGCTTCAGTACTAGATTCAAATTTTATAAAATAAAATATGATTTTTATATGAATATATCAGAATAACTTTATCATGAAATGTAGATACCACTCTGACTGATAAGTATTGTATTGTTTGTTTCAGATAATGGACGTTTTCATCCCCTTTTTCGAAACTGTAAACTGGAATACATCAATCCCCATTTAATTGTTACGTTCCGTAATGTCCCAATACAGGTAAGCTAGTAAAAAAAATTTTTTAATATAGTAATATCAGCTGTTTAACATTATGAAATTGAATAATTAGATTTTTCAGAGATAATACGTCTTATGTAAAACATTTTGAAAGTTTTTTTAGTTTACAATGGTTTTTAAAGAAGCACACTTTTCAGATAAATGTAGCTGAAGTTCTAGACATTTACCAAATTATACATTTTCGCCCGTGCGATACAAAAAAATACCAACAAAGAAAATTTCTATGTTAGGTGAATGTTTTCCCATACCTGTATATATTATAGACTCGTAAACCATATAATACGCGGTTTCAATAAATTCCCGACCAAGAATTTAAACTGTTCTTGTTAACTTCCCAGTCACAGGCAAGATATTCCTTTTGGGCCTAACAATGAAACTCGTAGTTGTTTTTTTAATTTGAAGGTCATAATAATATTGCAACATGAGCACCCTCTGATACATTTGCGTACAGTTTAACCGAATAATGAATAATAAACAATAAAACCATTCTTCAGTTGTTCGATATGTTTGGAATTATAGGGTCACGGTAGGAAGAGACAACACGAACAAAGTGAGTGTTTGCAAAAATGTAAAATATAAGGTACAAAACAGTAATTCTTCACGCAAGATGTAAAATGAGAAGGTTCGAAACCAGCCTAAATCGTACGTCGTTTTTCTCTTGCACGATATCTCACAAATAGAAACTAATAAAATTGACTTCGTTGAAGTACCAATCGAATCATATTAACATCACTGGGACCTGAATGAAATTGAATAACATTGAGTCAAACTGTGCTTTTGTTAACAAAAAAAAAGAAATATAGAAAGTATAGGGATTTATTGATTTATTTATATGTTGAAATCCAACAAAAACACAGGTAAATAAAAAAAAAATAAATATTTCCTAATAGTGGGAAGTTGTTGAAGAAAAGTGCGTACGTGGTCGTCACACACGATGACAATAAATTCTTTGATGTTGCCAAGTTATTATTGGCACTTATTGGGCGATAACTTCAAACCTTTTTATCACAGATAACATTAGTAATATTTAATTTTAACCTGTTACTCCTGGTGGACTGGCAATCCTTCCAACCTGCACTCTAGGGTAACTTCCCTTTAGGAATTGTATAAATAGGTGAGTGGCGGTTGACGAGAGACAACATACGAAATGAAGACAGAAGAGAATTTAAAAAATATTACTGCCCCAGTATTTGCCTACATGACAAAGAAATTACAAAAAAAGGACAGGCGGAAATCCGGATCTAAAGCTCTGGACTACGCCGCTCAGTATTTCAAGGAGCTAAGTTTAAACACTTACACCATAGCAGTTTGTGAATCACCATCAGCATCATCAAAAGGTCGTCAGTCCTAGACTGGTTGGACATACTTTCCTATCTTGAGCTAATTTACGCATTTCCTAAGACTAGAACATGCCACATCCTTAACTATTTGTCAACAGTAGTAATAAAATCTAGGTCTACATCTACTCTTCTTAACACCTATTTCTGCTTCTAATATGTCTCTGGCTAGCAAAGACATGCCTGAGAAGGTGTCCTACCAACCTATTGCTTTCTTCTCCTATTCTTTCTAATACCCCTTCATTTCTAACCTTCGCTATCCACAGTATCCTCATTATTCGCCTGTAATACTACATTTTTAACATTTTTGCTTTTCCGCAGCACCCACCGTCCATGTTTCGCACCAGTACAGCGCCACGCCAACCGTTTGCGAGTCTAGAAGTGACTTCTTGTTTTTAAAGGCGACTCAACCCTGCGTTATCCTCTGCTTTATATCCCTACTACTCCTTCCGTCCTGAGTTATCTGACTTCCTAGATACCGAAAATGGGCCACTTCTTCTAATTTTTTGTTTCATGCCCTTATGTTTACTCTTAGGTATCTTACTCTTTCTTCCCTTGCATACCAGAATATTTGTTTTACTTTTATTTATTTTCCACCAATCCTGTATGTATTATTCTGAAGTCTCCACTGCAAAAGTTTCCAACTCAACTAATGCCTACTACATCTAATTCTAATCTATTCATCTCAATTTTCAAATTTTGCAATTTTTCGACTTTCCACGCTCCAACTCGTAAAATATTCCGCCTTCTCCTATTGTACTTGATGACATCCCCCGAGACAGTAAAAAGATATAAAGACTATTGGGATCCGTCAAATGGCCATACACCATCTGGTGGCAAAATTTATAACTCGAATGAGGGAAAAATTTATATAGGAACTGTGCACGCAAATTGTAAAATTGTTTATTAAAATAATAAAACACGTTAAAAAAGTAAAAATTTTTTTGATGATGGAGTCGACGAAGTTTTCTTCTAAAGTTAAATCAAATAAAAAGTTAATATGTTCAGTGAAAAGCTGCAATAGCACTTCAGACATAGATCTTCACTCTTCACCTACATTAACTACTTTCCAATAAAAACTAACCGTTTTATATATGTAAAAAATATATTCGGAAAATTAGAGAAAAAAGTAAACTAATAGAAGCTTGGATGAAAGCAGTAGGTATCAAAGAAGTGAATTCCGGAATAAAAATTTGTTCACGTCATTTTAATGCACATGATTATATTTCAGCAAGTATTTACCATCAGCCATAACCTTAATATTCAAAACTAGAATCATACTAAAATTATGAAGTGAGAAATTATTTATTCCTGTGTAATTGATTTAACACAATTCTAATCATACCATATAAGTATTTTGAGGTTAAGAACCTACCTGCTGCAATACAACAAAGTTGCAATAATGTAAAATAATTCGAAGTGGTCTGTATTCTGTCGAAACTGCCAGACGCGGATCGCGATTTCGATCTTTTTGGATCTCATTAGCGCGATGCAGACAGCTCCGACAGAACACAAAAATGTGGTATCGTGCTACAGATAGCGTTTACTGCGCTATTTGTAGTATTTTGCAATAATGTGTTTGCAACGTCCTCTTAAATCGGTTTTGCACGTGCAAGTCATTGATATGATATTGCTTAAATCACCCAGAATCACCTCACCAATTATATAACGTGAATCACTTTTTAAATCCGAAGTTTGTAAAAAGTAGGCTGTAAACTTGACGAAATTTGATGGCTAGCTTCCGGATTTGTTACTTCCGAATTTTATAATGTGATTGGCATTAAAAACACGCTCACCTTCAACGAAATTTCCTTTCCTAGGCTTTGTGTCAGCCCAATCACATATTGTGTCAATACTTATCATTTTATCGTAATTTAAAAACTTGGAAATTGCACGGTACACTTTAGGAACTACGATAAATTTTCCCTAATCGGCGCCATGTTTTTAGGCTCCTCCCATTTGACAGATCCCAATAGATACAGCCAACTCAATGATACATCACGTGCTTTCAGTCTTCATTATACCATATCTCACTTGCACCACGACAGATTTTCGTGTGACTCAATCGCATTCACATGCATTTTCATAATATATAATTTTTAAGTTCTATCAATTCCAGTTTTATACAAATTTAGGTAGGTAATTAACCACATATATATATTAATATCCATCTGTACCATCATCCGGTTTTTACATGTCAGGATCAAAAACAACCAAAAAATATTTATCATTAGTGTACCTTCCGTTAGTTGGGCTTTCAGTTTTTATAGTAATCTCGAAGTTAGCAATTTAATCTATCCATCTGACATTAAAATATCCTTTCAATCATACGAATTGTGCTTAATACGTAAATGTAAAATAAAAAGCTTTGGAAGCGGTCGTGGATTTACGAACCGTGATGCATTTATCCCGGAGGCTGAAGCTTTTCCAAACTGTACTGAAATAAAGACCGCACAAAAAGGATGAAATTTCTTTTTAAATGCAGATGTGTGCATATATGTAGATTTTTGCACAAAAGGATTCCCTTTAATTATGTCCCTTTTAATTTAAAACCATTCAAAATCTTTGTTTGAAGTTCTCATTCATCGTTAGTAACGCAGTGGCTTACATTTTACGTTGTATGCACATTCTGTACGCCGAACTTTTATATTCCAAGTTACGAGGGTGGATTGATAAGTTTCCGGCCTAACCAAGAGATGACGCCACTAGGCCTACCTTGAGGTGACATTCTATAGTACCATCCTTGGATAGCTTGTAGCTATAGTTTCAGCCCGATCTCCTTGCTAGTGTAGGTTTGACAGCACGCTGAACAAGACGCCTCTGTGGTTTTCGTAAAAATGGAAAAGCAGGAAAATCGTGCTGTCATCAAATACTTTTATTTGAAGGGGTTAACGCCGAAGGAAATTAAAAAAGAGATGGACTCAACACTGGGGACATCCTCCCCGTCATATTCAACCGTTAAGCAGTGGGTTTCCGAGTTTAAAAAGGGTCGTGTGAGCACCTCTGATGGGCCTCGCTCAGGACGCCCCGTTGAGGTCACAACTCCAGATATGATCGAAAAAATTCATCAAATAGTGCTGGGAGACCGCAGATTGAAAGTGCGTGAGATAGCTGAGACCTGTAAGATGTCATATGAACGTGTGCAACATATTTTGCACCAACATTTGCATATGGAAAAGCTCTGTGCAAGATGGGTGCCGCGTTTGCTAACAGTCGACCAAAAATTGATTCGAAAAAACATTTCTACCGCAAATTTGTCATTGTATAAGCGTAATCCAAGCGAATTTTTGCGTCGATTCGTAACCGTTGACGAAACGTGGGTCCACCACTACACTCCTGAAACCAAAGAACAGTCTAAACAGTGGATTGGACCAGGGGAACCAACTCCAAAGAAGGCAAAAACAATTTTTTCGGCGAACAAGGTTATGGCTACTGTTTTTTGGGATGCAAGAGGTATTATATACATTGATTACCTTGCAAAGGGTAATACTATCACTGGTCAATACTACGCAGACTTATTGCAACGTTTGAGCCACGAGGTGAAAATTAAACGACCTCATCTGGCGAAGAAAAAAATCTTGTTTCATCACGATAACGCACCAGCGCACACGTCAATCGTTGCGACGGCTAAAATCAACGATCTAA